CGACACCTGGGATGCAAAGGCAGCCATTCCTGCACAGAACCTGATTGTCCTGCAGCTCAGGTTCCAAAAGTAGCAGCAAGGCAATCCCCATGTGGTGGCTTGTTTCGATCACACTGTAATGCAGTTCTGTTATTACTCTATAAACCCATCTGTCTCTAGGTAATTGACACCTGTGCATGCACAACCACAGAGTATATAGAGAGGTATATATAATCACACATAACAGTCTTCCTTTGAAGAGTACCTAACAAAACCGTAAAGTATTCTTACTTGAACACTACCTGAAATCACATTTGCGTCTTCACAAATCCAAGCTGTCCTTCCACAAAGCTTTACTTGGGGCTTCTTACCCATTTCTCTCACAACCACTGCCCTTGTTAAAATGACACTGAGGAAGTCCCCACTAGATTACTGTGTCACAGTTCATAGGACTAGAGGGCTGCAGCTCTGCTTCACTCTCTGGGAAGGACCTAATATATCAATTGCTGATGCTCAATGGGATGATTTCCTCTGGATAGTCATTGTGGCATCCCTTCAGTTGATGTGCTTCCTACAAGATTTTGATGCCAGTGAGTGTGAGCTTCCAAGGGAAAATGGAAGGAACTTAACCACAAGACTAAGTTTGGAGTAATGCTAAATGAACTTACAACCTGAAGAGTGAAATTTAGCAAATTTCCAGGACTGGTGGCAAACCCAGCACTGGACTCAGGGGTGATTCATAATCCTGTCCTTCATCCACACCCACGAGGCTGCTGAAATCAGCAGTGCCTGAGGGAAGAACAGATTCTTTATGCTCCAGGCAGCTTTCTGTGTGCATTTTCCTAGTGCCAGCCCAGGTATCTGGAGGCAGTAGTACTGATAAAGTACCCCCAGGAGGAATATAGATGGAAATTCCTTTCAAAATGTAGTCTATTGTGTGCAGCAGTCTATTATGTGTAACCATCAGTCTGTTCCCCTGTTAGCAGTTTTAAATGGATGGCCACACATTTTAATTCCTTACCTCCTCTAACGTCGTTTGACTCACGGAGAAGTGCCTGATATTGAAAGCTGCTTTGCTGCCTTCCAGGAGATCAAATATATTTGCTACCCCTCCTGCAGAGATTGGAACGTGATACTCCACCATGTTGAAATGCCGATCCTGTGGGAACAGGAATGATGGGGTAAAGCAAAGAGCTGCTGCCTATAAAGAGCCAGCAGATCTGATGGCTGGCTGAGATGAAGGCAGAGAGGAGCTGGACCATGGGAGAATGAAGAGGCAAGGGGGTATCTTCTGAATATTATTGTCTGGTACTGACCAGTGTTTCCCCTTTGGGAGATTTTGTGGGTTTTGTGACTGGGAGAGTTCCAGAGCTGGAAGGTTCAGGGTGGCCATAGCAATTTCCAGCTCCAAGTGTGCTGTTTGGATTAATGCAGAGATTGGGTTTTGGACGCCCGGTGGGATTTGTGACTCGGTTACTCTGGTTTTACAATTACTCAGTTACTGGAAGCACCCAACCATCTCATTACCCACTGAACCTGAACTGGGTGTCCATGCAGTCCACACTTCAGTGGGACCATTCCTGGGGCAGCGGGTCCCCTAACAGCTGCCTTATAGCATTGCTGCAGCTATTTGGCTGATGTTACTTAAGCCCCCAAGGAACTTGAGCGTTGCAGCTCTTGAACATGGTAGCTGATAGCAATGGCAAGTGTTACTCAGAGGGCATGGGTCTATGTGCACAGTAGGTTACAAGATGTCCATCTTACAAGATTCTCCTGGTTAATTTGAAGGGATTTTGAAGGTCTCTCCCAAAAGCATTTGCCCTGCTTACCTTCAGGCATGTATTTGGAAAGTGTGACTTCATGAACTCTGTCAGCATCTCAGTGCACACTGTGTTGCTATTTAAGTGCATCTTCACGGTAAAACCTCTTCCAAATCTAACGGAAAAAGAAAATCACAATTAAAACAGTAGAAAAGAGAAACAGATATAGAAAATCCTTTGAGAGTGCTGCACAGCCTCTTTGGGGAAATCTAATCCAGGCAGAGTACAGCTTGAATGGGGTCAGAGTTGTTAACCTGGAGTGAAAGTTAATAAGAAGCCAAGCTATTGTTATAACTAATAAAATCAAAGCTCAACTCTAATATGCATTTCACATTTGCAAGAGTGAACAGATTACTTTGGGGAACACATGTCTGGGAAGAAAGGCTGTGAGACAGTAGAAAGTACATTAATAAACACAGAATTTCACTGGTGTAGAAAGAGACATAAGCCATAAAATGACATTATTTTGATGCCCTGTTAACCCAGGTCTCATGTTCTCGGCCCTTAAGTCTGTAGGTCAGTAACTCCATGTGCTGTTCAGTAAAAATGAAATAGGTCCATTTTACTGACCTGCTCTTGATATGCTGCAAAGAGCCAATGCACTGGAAACTCCCATTCACCATGATAGCTAGCCTGGTACAGAGGGCTTCACACTCTTCCATACTGCAAAACCAAGAAACTCTAGTAAGTCATTGAAAAGGTTTGATAAAACAGAGTTGTTTTAGTAATCAGAGAACATTACTGATCTTCCCTGAAGTGTTGTGGGTCTCTGTGGGCATCCACATTCAGCCACAACAAACCCCCAAACCTGTCACAGCTCAGTGCCCTGAAGCTGTGCAAGGACCAACAGGGAATGTGAGGGATGAGCCTTTCCATACTCCTGACGATACCAAAATGGGAGGCAGAGCCATACCAGCCCTACCTGTGGGATGTGAGTATCACTGAGCATTTGTTCTGCACTTCCTCGCTGATGATTTTCCAAAGGTGGCGCTTAGCATTTGGATCCATTCCAGAGCTTGGTTCATCCTATTGGGAAAGACAGGAGTGAAGATAAATTTGCACTCAAATCTGATTTCCCTAACACTTGTGCTATTTCTAGGTTCATCCTCAGTGTTAAGTTTGTAGTAAGGATGCACAGGAGAGCTTACACTGGTGCAGAGCTGGGACAAGGATTATCTTCAATTGCATTGTGGATTTGACTGAGATATCCTATACCTCCTTCAAGGAGAAGCAAGTCAGCTTGACTACGCCCTTCATCCTCATCACCCTCTGGAACTGCACAACTTTCCTGGTGACAAGAGAAACTCACAGCCTCCACTGGACTCAAGGAACTGACTGACTGGATCAATCCCACTGTGCTTTATCAAGAGCATATGGTGGTACAAACCATGGTGTTTTAAATATCCACAAACACCACAGCCATCACCCCAGACAAGGAGATATCAATGAGCACTTGGGTCCCATGTGCACCTGTGTTTTGCCTTCTCCTCCATATGTATCAGGAACAGTGTGATCAACAGGACCAGGGAAGTGAGGCCACACCTTGAATACTGTGTTCAGTTCTGGGCCCCTCAGTTCAGGAAGGATATGGAAGTGCTGGAGCAGGTCCAGAGAAGAGCAATGAGGCTGGTGAAGGGACTCGAGCACAAGTGCCATGAGGAGAGGCTGAGGGAGCTGGGGTTGTTTAGCGTGGAGAAGAGGAGGCTCAGGGGAGACCTTATCACCCTCTCCAACTCCCTGAAAGGAGGTTGGAGTCAGGTGGGGGTTGGTCTCTTCTCCCAGGCAACCAGCAGGAGGACAAGAGGGCACAGACTCAAGATACTAGGAAGAGATTTCTTATGGAGAGAGTGATCAGGCATTGGAATGTGCTGCCCAGGGAGGTGGTGGATTCACCATCCCTGGAGGTTTTTAGGATGAGACTAGATGTGGCACTTAGTGCCATGGTCTAGTAACCACAGTAGGGTTGGACTTGATGATCTTGGAGGTCTTTTCCAATCCGGCTGATTCTATAATTCTATGATTTCTCCACTTAGAGAGAGAGCAAGGGAAAGATGACAGAGGATATAGTATCTCCTGTCTTATGCACTGCTGATAAAGTTGTCAGCCAATTTCTGATTGACAAACTGCTATTGTTGAGGACAACACCTTAAGTAAGGTAGAAATGAACCAGCTTGGGTCCAGGCAACAGTCAGTACAGAGGGAATTTCTCCACCTTCTATTTTTATTGAGATTTTTCTTATCTCACAAAAGCAGCTAGAGCACCAGCAGGTGGTCAGAAGTAAAGGCAGCGGTGCTGGGCCCTATGCAAGTTGGGGCAAGGGAGATTTATGTCCACTAGGTATCAAAGTGAATATTGGGAAACCTGCTCACAGAGCACTGCACACATTCAACACACAGCAAGTGGGAAAACTGCACAGAAAGGTATGTTTTAGCAATGGCATAGCTCATGGAAGAACTGGAAAGTTCAGAGTGAAGAACAAAAGAGGAAGTCAAACCTAGAAAAAGAGCTTTATGTTCTAATCTTGAGGGAAGTTGCTCTTTTGCTCTCCTTTGGAGCTCTCCAAGGTTTGGAGCCTTGGATACTGCTTTTCTTGTGTAACTGCAGGTTAGTCACTACAAAAAACCCCAAGATAGAGTTGGGAACAAAGATAGTTTAATTGGCAAATACAGGATCTCTTTTTGACCTCTGAAAGATGCTACCAGAGAAACTGTCAGACTCACCACTCTCTTATGCCCTCAAAGAACATTTGGGTGTTTGCTGAAACTTAAACTTTTCCTCTGATACTTATGTTGCCAGGCTAAGTACAGGCATGTGGGGAGTGTCCTGTAAGCTGTGCCTGAGGAGGTTTTGCTAAGACCTTCAAAGCATCCCTGCCAGTCCAAAGTCCTGCTCCTCTTTCCTCCAACAAGGCCCCATTTCTCACCAGCAGCAGAATCGATGGATTTCCAATGAGAGCTAGCGCAGTTGACAATTTTCTGTTGGTGCCATAACTGCACATAGAGGTGACTCTGTCCTTGTATGCCATCAAATTCAGCCGGTAGAGGAGCTGGAGTACAACCTGTGGAGCAAGAATAGTGTTTTCACAACAATGACCAGGCATGAATTACCACATGCACTGAAAGACTAATGTAAGGGCTCTCAGTAACTGAAAAATGCTGCAAGTCAAGCCCCAGTGTTACTCACTCCTTTGATGTCCCTCTCTGGGATGCCATGGAGCCTAGCATAGTAATACATGTGCTCTTCCACTGTCAGCAAGTCATCCAAGGCATCTTCTTGAGGACAATAGCCAAAGAGCGACCAGTGTGCCTCACTAATATCATTCAAGGACCTGTGTAAGGAAGTTGCAAAGTCACTATAAACACTGAATTGCTAATTCACTCTGGAATCAGTGAGAAAACCCCTTTCTCCAACTTCCTACCCTGTTCCCCAACCCTTGAAGGAAAATGCTATGAATCTGAAGCTCCAGCATTCAGGCCCTCAGTTCTGCATAGGCTATGTATCTAGTCCACAGCTCTCCAACTACTGCCGGCACCTCAGATGGCACAGCTGCCACACCTACTCCAGTTAAAGCATGCTTTGAGATGAGTTCTGTGGTCTCCAGGTCTAGCTCAGAAGTGGGATCACACTCTAGTGAGGATCAGAGTCTGATCCCGTTTGCAATGGAATGGAGGAAACACCTCTGAGAACAGCGGAGGTATGGCAGCAAAATGCAGACCCATAGGGAAGCAACCATACCACCTTCAAAGGGTGAATGCCCTGTTTTATTTATTTTTGCTCTGTTTTGAACATTTGTTTTGTTTCAGACATTCTTTTTCCTTTCCCACCCAGCCTTAGAAACTGCCCTCAGGTTGATTTGCTCACGCGCCTTCCCCAGAAATCACATCCTCCATACCCAGAATGATCCTGGACCCGCAGCCTTCCGCTGGATGCTCCGATATCACCCGTCAGCATCTTAAAGATTGTTGTCTTTCCAGCTCCATTCACACCAAGCAAGCCAAAGCACTGGGTTGTGGGGAAGAAAAGTCAAAATGTAAGCATGCTGTATTTGTAATGCAGAAATACTGCTCCGAGACGAGTGCTCAGTGCACCTTGTCTCTTCTTTCTCTGGACCCTCGAGCAAGATGAATTGCCAGAGAGGCAGAGGAACTCAGCGCATACAAATGTGCTAATGGAGGTTGTTTATGGTACAATATACTGCAGCTTAAATTAGGACCGTTTGTTTAATATGGTGAAGAATCAAGGATGTGTTTCTAATAGAGTCATTCCTTTAACTGCGAGGTGCATTTCTGCAGGAGCTCATGTGACAGGCCAAATCCTGACTGGCTAATTTGTGCAAAGCCTCCCTATTCGTGGGAATGAGGTGAGTGAGGTTTGGGCTGTCACTGGTAAAACCTTAATGCAACACAAGATTTTTGTCAAATAATCTCACTAATGCACTAATATATTAAGCATTAATAAGATTAAGAACGGGTTCCCTGTAAAGCAGTTTCAGTATCTCACAGTAAAATCTATGTTTTATTGCTAAGGTTGGAGATATGCAGTTGTGTGTTGCATAAGCCATCACCATTATGCTGATAATTACTATTATTTGCTATCGTTAGTAAGACCAGCTGATGTGAAAATCCTCGTGTGCTGGGCCCACTGCAGATGCACAGTATCAATCCAAGGCTCTTCCCCAAACTAAGATCCATGCAGGGATGGTATCTGTGCACAGTCCATGGTGCAGGGCCACAGCTTCTGCTGACAGGTGAGGAATGGTGGCCTAAATCCCAACAGCACAAGGGTGAATTTTGCCAGAAGTTGGAAACCTTGATGCCAATTGTGCCTTAGAAAAAGTCCTCTGCTGGAAAGATCAGTGCCACAGTCTCCACGTGAGGCTGCTGTCCTGCCCAGCACTCTACGTCCTTTCATGTCAGTGGGATCCTGGCAATTAAAATAAATCAGGTACCAGGGATTAATTCCAAGCTTCTCCAGAAGTCAGGTGCACAGCCTGAGGTAGAATCTGGTCTCCAGTTTCCTCTGGATCTCAGAGATGCTCTGTATGCTCCCGTCTTTTCACTTCTTATGCAGGTAACTGCACTGACATGGCCAAAGAATATTTTTTTCTTTAGTTTTAAGTCCTGATTCATGAAAATGTGTGTTCAGTTGAAGAGATTTGTCTTCTCTTGATGGGAAAACACAAGCAGATAAGCCTGACTCACCATCTCCCATGTAATTCAAGTGAATCATTTCAGCTGGACATGTTCTGCTGTCTTCATTGACCACCTACTAATCCCCAGTGATCCCCCAACAACAGGTCCATCAATTCTCATCCACTTTCTCTCTTTCTAGGGCCTTCAAACTGCCACTTGGTGTCCCAAATCCACCAGGGGCCTTTCAGCACTACCGTAACCCCAAGAATCAATAAATGAGGCAAAGGAAGGAAGAGGTCAGAGCAGGACAAACGATTACAGTTGTGCTGGGACAGCAGCAACGACTGGGAGAGAAGATGACAGTGACACTGGAAGGTGCCCGCA